CCCCAAAACCCCAAAACCCCAAAACCCCAAAACCCCGATAATCTATTATAATTGAAGATATGAATTTGTGAAATTATTCATTTTTGGTTATTAATATTCATTAATTTCAGTCAAAGAATATTGTTCTGTAATGATGACGTCTAATAGTTAGATGCCATTCTATAAGGATTCTATATTCTCATCGCCATTTTAGAACATTAGTCTCTCTTGACTGACTTTACTCAGGATTTACCTTACTCAGTAATCCTATTAGTGTCTAATATTCATTTGTTCTGACCAGAAACATTTTGGCCAGCTGAGTATTGCTATTGCTAGCCTGAAAGTCCTTTTTCGAGATTCTTGTTTCTTTCTTCCTGCGAAAGTTTGCTGATATCAGCCTTCTCTCCCAATACATCTTTCTGCTAGTACTGCTACTATTAGCCGAGATTCTTCTACTATTGACCTTCAACGTTCTAGCCGGCTCTCCATTGTTCTTGTTATTAACCACCGCCAACACCGAATCTCTGTTGGTCTGATTCTTTTGTATATTGCTAGCTTGACCCTTAGAATTTTCCAGCCTCTCCAATGCCTGATGATCCAGCGAATTTCTACCCGGCTAAGATATCTTGTTGCCCCATACCTGGAAGATTACTTTGTCCTTATTTGATGTCGGACATTCCTCCTGAGAAATCTTATTACTTCTGTTGTTGTTGACCTGAAAGACTTGAGTCTTTAGTGTCTTTGCCTTGAGCTTATCTTTGTTGTTGTGATGACATTAGTTTGTTAATGTTTGTGACTTGTAAAAAAGTTGGATAAAATTATAATCTGAATTTATTCTCAGCTTTTATCTATTAAAATTTATTATTAATGGAAACATATTCCAAATTAAGATTCAACAAAGTTTACTCTATTAAATTGGCTAGTTATAATAGATATTCAAGATCTCAGCTAATATCAATTTCTCGCTTAATTTACTCTATATTTTACATATTCATATTAATTTGCTCCTAGGGGTTTTGGGGTTTTGGGGTTTTGGGG